GAAAAGCAAAAAAAAAAAAAAACAGTCACAGGTGATCAGATGCCTACAACAGACAACTCCTAACCACAAAAGGTGGGACAGAAAATCTGTGCATAACTAACACGTTTGATCTTCATCTTACACTTAAATTCTTCCCACCAGTAATCACACAGCGAAGCTTCATCCGGTCCCCTGGGGAGGCCTGTCAAACAAGGAAGCTGCTGAGAAGCAGGAAGCAAGTCCAAGGAACAGGTGCAACCTTGGATGAACAGCCCACATCAGATCTGAGGCTGCTGACAAGGGCAGGATGAGGCCAAAGGCTCTCGGCCATGATAATCACAAAGAGGTCCAAGGAGACCTGAGCCCTCTGGGAACACACGTGAACTCTCTCCTTGGAGAAGTGGCTAACCCACAGCTAGTCACTCTGCTCAAGACGGTCCCAGAACATCAGGAAACAGCCACGGGTCCCCTGAATCCTGCCGAGCTCACCCAACTGCACCAGCAGCTCCAGAGGACAGAGCTGATGGCTGGCATCATGGCCCAACCCAGCCCCACCCAATGGAGGCACCTTGGGTGGTGATGCCTTGGGCACCAGCCCAGGACCCTCATCACAAGCAGCCCTCTCCTCATGCTCTCTGGAACTCCCCATGGAGGTTCTCTGGGCACGGCTACGTCCTCTAACCCCACTTGTTCCATGTTTTTTACAGAAATGTGTAAATACAACACTAGTTTTTCGTTTTCGTGAAGCACTGGTGATATTCACGAGACTCCTGCTGCCTCAACACTTGATCTAACAGGGATCAGAAAAAAATGCCTCAGAAAGAGATGGGACTCGCTGTTGAGTGGTTACAGTCCAGAACCAAAAACACCCCGCAAACTGTTCCCAGCGGGGCCCACTTCCCAGCCAGTGAAAACCAGCCAGTGCAGCTAGGCTAGGGACTCACCAGCCTCTGGAAGCCTGTTCTGACAAACCCAGGACAGTGGCCTATAGATTCTCCTTCCACCCTCTGCAAAATGGGGTTGCTGTCTGGGGGAAGTCGGGGGTGCCTCTCAGTGTGTGCTGGGTGGCCCTATGGTTATAAATGCACGCGCGGTACACACGCGGGGTCCTAAACACCAAGGAAGCTAAGACAGCAGGTGCCCATTGGACTACTAGGCTGCGGTTCGTTTGGGCATTAGGCTCCAGCGACAGCACCAGTCACAGACAGTTTTCGCATACATGCCACCACCGCCACCAGCATCTTCACGACGAGGTTGGTGTTCCCCTCGCTCGACAGACGAGGGCACACAAGCTCCGCGGCGGCGGGATCCGGCGGGCAGGAGGTACGGCCTGGCACCGAACACGCGGGGCGGGGCGGGGAGGGGGGGCGGCCGACCAGCGGTCCGGCGCTGGGACGCCGGGGTCCCCGCCGCCCGGTGCCCCTCCCCAAGGCGGGGCTGGGGTTGGCAAGGGAAGAGGCCGGGGCGGCGCCCACCTACCGCGGCGGCGAAGCAGCTCCGCAGGGCCTCGAACTCCTGCACACAGAGGTCCTTCGTCAGGCGGCCGCCCGGGGCCGTGGACGCCTGCACACACCTGCCATAAGCCGCGGCCTGGGGGCGGACGGGGACGGGCGAGGGTCGCGGAGGGCGCCCCCCTCCCCCCCACGCCGGTCACCCAGGGCAGATCCCGCCCCCGCCCCCTCCCCCTCCCCGCCCGACACCTTCTCACCTCGGCCCTACAGGCCGCAAGGCGCTCGGGGAAGGCGCGGAGGCGGCCTCGCACGCGTCCCCACACCGCTCCGTTCCCCGACATGAGCGGCCCCTCCTGGCACCCATGGGCGCCGCCATCTTAGGCCCGTCCTTTTCCGGCGCCCAGCTTCTCGATAGGCGCGCCTTCCGCCCGTCGCCTTTCCTGCGCTTTCTGTTTGGCTAGGCTTCGGTTCCAGCCCCTGCTTCGCTTCCGGAACGGCGCCGGGCCTCTCCGAGCCCTGCAAGTGGCTCGTGAATTTGTCTGTCTTTGATCTGGGACTTCGGATTGGTTCAGGCTCAGGTTGTTTGCCGGCATAGACTGCAGGCCCCGCCCCGCGCGAGCGATTGGCCAGCTAGTCCAGGCCCGCGCGGTGATTGGAGGGGGTCCACGGCCGCGGGCGGGGCCGGAAGGTGGCCGGCATCATGGCGTCCACGCCGCCGCTGCGGGACCGCCTGAGCTTCCTGCACCGGGTGAGTGCGGGCGGCCGCGGCCCCCACCCCGGGCCAGAGCTGTTCCCCTTCCCGGCCCTGCTCGGCGCCCGCTGGGGCCTCCTCCCAGGCTCACAGACGCCTCCATCTCCCTCCGGCCCTCTCCGTGCCCGTCCTCCTCCTCGAGCCCCTCCGGCCGTTCTTGGGCCCCTGGTGTCCCCTCTGCCCCAGCATCTCGTTCCTGGGTCCCCTTCTCCGCTGTGGCCTCAGGGTCGGGGCCCGATCCCCGACGCCGTGTGGGCGGGGCACGCCACCTCTGCTTCACATCCCCTCCCGGACAGAACCCGAATTGGAAGAGACAGCTGGGGTCTCAGACGGCACAGCCGGACGCCCGCGCGGGCAGCCCCGGCCCCTTCCCATTTGTGGCAGGAGCACTGCAGTGTCCGTGCAACTCGGCAGCTGGCCGGCCCTTTCGGGACTTGGGGTCCTGCCCCCGTACAGGGCGTGCGAGACAGGCCCGGGCCTTCCTAGTGGTTGCGTTTCAAACCGGGGCCCTCAGGTCCTAGGGAAGGACGCCCCCGAGTTGTGGGAGACCCACGTCCACCATCGTCAGTTCATCGTGGCGAATGCTCCGAGAAGCGGAGGTCGGGGCCTGTTGTTGGTGTTGGCCAGAGCCAAAGCAGATGCAGCGGGCGGCCTTGAGCCTCGTCAGGCAGGTGTTCAGGGGCTGGGCCGACGGTGAAGCAGCCGGTCGGTTCGGTTGTGTTAGTGCAGAGACTCCCCTCTGGGCCCAGGCCTCCATGGCTCTGTAAGTCTGTCCAGCTCCCCTTTGGGCCTTGCTGGACAAATAAGGTGACTTTCAGGCCCGTGTTCTCGTGCTGTCAGGCCGCTGCCCTTCAAACTGTAGTCTGTGGTGAGCACCCAGCAGAGTCCACGCACTTGTCCCCGTGAGTGTCCCTGAGGTTCCCCGTCCTGTCTTTGCTCTGAGGCTCACGCTCCCCAGATGCCCAGACGCTGGGCCAAGTGGGAATGGGTGTTTGGGTTTATTTCCCTGTGATGCCCACTCATCATGCCAGGGGCTCGCGCTCCCTTTCAGCTCCCGGTTCTCCTGAAGGGAACGTCGGACGATGATGTCCCGTGTCCGGGCTACTTGTTTGAGGAGATCGCCAGTATCCTTCCTCGTCACCCACGTCCAGGGGCCTGTCCTTCGGAGGCCCCCCAACTCCTTTACTGTAGGGACCAAGTGTGGGTGGGTCCAAAAGCCACACGACTGATGACGCGGGGCCCAGGAGGCCGTAAGAGGCCCAACCTCCTGAAACCAGGGCCTCGGGTGGGTGTTTGCGGGGAAGACACGGGAGAAGTCTGGTGGCAGGAAGGCCTGGTTCTCTCCCCCGCCGGCGTGGCCTCGTGTGGCCTGGGGTCAGCTCGCTCCTTCCCTAACCTGAGCGCCTGCCAGAAATCTCACACGAGTCCCTGGGCAGCAGCCAGTGCCTCCTGGAGTACCTTCTGAACCGTCTGCACAGCGGCTCTGGCCGAGTGAAGCTGAAGGTGAGTCCCCGAGCGGCCCCCGCAGACCCTCCGCTGGGGGACGGGCCAGCGGGTGGCGAAGCACGAGGAGAGGGTCGCCGCGGGATGCGTGCGGGCTGCCCTCTGGGCCTGTGCTGCCCCCTGCGACTGTCCCCCAGGTGCTGAAGATCCTGCTCCACCTGTGTGGTCACGGCTCCTCCTCGTCCTTACTCATCCTCAAACGCAACCCTGCCTTCATCCAGGAAGCCGCAGGTATCCGGGCGCTGGGGCGGGGCGGCCAGGGCAGGCTGCACAGAGCCCCTCTGCTGGCCACCGCCCCCTCACAGAGACGCGCCTCCCACCAGCGGGACTCACCTCCCGTCTTCTCCCCAGCACCCCGCACCCCAGCCACCGCCTTCACTCTGTCACGGGCTTTCCCTTCCATCCGTCGCCGGGCCCGCCGCCGCACGGTGGCTCACTTCTGCCTGTGTGCCCTGCCTGGCCTGGGCAGCCCAGGCCCGTCCTGCCTGTTCCAGTGCCCGGCACACCAGAGGGGCTCTGTCTCCCCCCGCAGGACTGCTCCCCAGGGCCGAGACAGGGAGGTCTGTGGGAGGCCCCCGAGAGAGGCGGGGTTCTGGCCTGTCGAGGACTAGGTCTAGCACAGCTGGGTCTGGGGTGGGGTTCCATCTCTCACTCCCCAGGCGGGCCTGGGGCTGTCCCGTGTCTTTTTCCCTAACTGGGATTTGGGGGGACGGGGCCTGAGACCTTCCCCTCAGGTAAGGCAGGAGTCCTGGCCGCGGTGGGTCTCAGGGGCACAGCGTCAACAGACCCCGCCCTGAATGACACCGGAAGGGCTGGCCAGAGGCAAGAACCACGCCCACGGAGCCATCCCTGAGAGGGTCCCTGGGAGGGCAGCGCCGGGGAGGGGGACCCAGTTAGTTGCTCTTGGCCACCGCGTGCTCCTCGGGGATCCTGAGAATTTCCAGCATCCTGCCTGCCAGGTGCTGGCCTACCCCCACACCCCAAAACCGCGGCTGTCTCTTCACTGGAGGCCTCCGTCCTCCACCCCAGGGGCGCAGCTGAGGCAGCACGGGATGCGGCAGACAGCGGGTCCTTGTTGGCACCAGAGTCTCTGCTGGGCCGGTCCCAGTCCGTTGTACTCTGAGTGCCAACCCCGGGGGACCCTGCCACAGGCTGTCGGGGAGGTGGGGTAGCGAGAGGAGGTGGCTCTGGGGTGGGACGGCCCGCAGACGGCGGCCTCAGCTCAGGCACAAGGGGCCCGGGCGGGGGGCGGGGGGGCGGTTCCTGTGCGGCAGGAAGAGCAGGGAGGCTCACGCCCCACCCCCACCCCCACCCCGGTGGTTCCATTCCCAACTGGCCGATGGGCGTGCACCCTGGGCCACCTGCCAGGGCAGAAAGTGAGATGCATTTGTGACAAGAGACTGGGAACGGGGGTGTCACTCAATTCCTTCTAGGAAAAACTCATTTGTCACACCTGAAGCTGTTACGTAGAGGGAGGTGGTATCGTCAGGGCCGCGGGAGCCTCCGTGGGGCTTTGATTGCTCGCTTCGCTCCCGAGTGGAGAGTGGGTTGAGGGGGGTATAGCGAGGCAGCCAGTGCAGGGACCCCGGCAAGAGATGGCATGGGGCTCCGCTCTGTGGGCATGAGCAAGGGGGCAGCCGGGGTGCGGCCTCCATAGGCCCAGTGGGTGGTATATCTCTGAAAAGCAGTGTGGGGGCATTGGGTCCCAGATGAGGGGGATCTGGGGGCTCCCGGGCTTGGGGGTGCGGAAGGGTGGCTGCCACTATAGGGACTTTGACCTGGAAGGGGTGTCGCGTGGGGACTGGAGGTCAGACCCATGTTTCAGGAGGCCGCCCCTGACCCTCGGGGTGCCGGGGTCATCTGCCAGGGGTCCGGGGGGGTGCCCACCACGAGGGCCGGGGGGGCATTAAAGCCACACCTCTGAGTGTCAGTAGCTGCATCTCACCTGCGCATCTGCCTCCGTCCTGCAGTTTTCTCGGGGCCCCCAGATCCTCTCCACGGCAACAGCTTGTACCAGAAGGTGCGGGCGGCCGCCCAGGTGAGTCCGGCACTCGGGGCAGCCCGGGACAGACTGCCAGATGTTTGTTCCACCACCCGGGGCCCTGGCTCCGCCCTTGCTGTGGGACCCCCAAGAGAGCAGGGGGGCGGGGGGACAGAGCCGGACCACAGCGAGCCGAGTGCCCTCTGCGTCCTCGTCTAGGACTTGGGGAGCGCCTTGTTCTCGGACAACTTGTCGCCCCCGCCTCCCTCCCAGCCACCCAGGGCCCTGCCTCCGGCAGGTAGGCGACCGCCCATCCCCTTCGCTGGGTGTTCACCCTGGGGAGGGTTTGAGGTTCCCCCCCCCGCCCCGCTGTCCCAGGTACACAGGGTTGAGCATGAGCGGCCACACTGGCACTGACGTGGGTCCTGCTCACAGGCATGGGCTCCGAGTCCAGGCCCCAGGGCGCCCTCCAGGGCTTCGGCTACAGCAAGGAACGGGGCCCCACAGGTGAGTGCTGCGGGGGTGCGGGGCGCGGGCATAAGGGTCTGGCGGATCTGGCCTGGGAGGCGTGGCGGGTGGCACGGCTGGGGCCGGTGTTCTGCCACCGCGCTCTCCTCTGCTCGGGCCCGTGGGAGAACGAGGCAGGGCCAGTCTGCGAAACCAACAGGTGAGAAGCCGGGCGAAGGCTAGGTCTGTACGCGTGCACCCAGGCCCTGGTCCCTCAGAGGGGCGGAGGGCGGTGGCGTGGGGACGGTGCCCGTCGTGAGTGGACGCAGCCGGCCTGGGTGCTGCCGGTTCTGGTCTCGGCTCTCAGACCCCCGGTACCTCGGGAGCACTGATTCCTAAAGCAGGCCTGGCTCGCAGGCCTTGCCTGTTCCTGACTCAGGAGTGACGGTGGTTGGTCCCGTCAGGGCACTCACGCACCCCTGCACCCGTACTGGACGTGAGCTGCCGTGGGGACCAAGCTCTCTGACGATCCCCTTAGCTGTCCTGCTCCCACGTGGGGCCGGGGGACTTGGGGGCACGGCCATGCCGTAAGCTGGAGCGCCAGGCTCTGTCGGGCCTGGGAACGCACTGAAGCAGCATTCACTGGGGAAGCTTCCGGAAGGGCCTGGGTGCCCCACGTGGGCTCCACTGTGTCACTACGGCTCACGTGCTGGCCTCTTGAACTCCTCCGGGGGGGGGGTGGGGTGGCAGAACTGAAGAGGGCTGGCACCCTGTCCCTCTCCCTCCGGCGCAGGCTCTGCGGGAGAAGCCTTCCTCTCCACCATCCAGAAGGCCGCAGAGGTGGTGGCCAATGCTGTGCGCCCCGGGCCCGAGAGCCCCGGCACCCGGAGGCCCCTCCCGCGGGGTGACGCCTACCAGCCCGCCATGACGCCCACAGCCAGCCGTGGTTGCCCCAGTGCCGGGAAGCCGCTCCCCGGAGCTCTCCCAGGCGCCCGAGGAAGCGGTGAGACTCTCCTGGGGGTCCGGGTGAGCAGGCCCCTCCCCGTGGTGTGTTGGAGCGAGAGGGGGCCGCGGAGCCGCCGACAGGACCTTCCCGGCAAGGGGCACAGGCTCCTGGCTCAGAGGCCGGGGAAGGAGGCGGTGTGTCCTGGGGGGGCCGGGGGCCCACACAGCCTTTCGCCGGCTCCGTGGCTCTGTGCGCGCTCGCTGTGGCCTCCGTGCCGTACAAAGATCGCGCGGCGTCTGGATGCTGTTTTGCCAGGTTCTTGCCAGTTGCTTCGAGTAGGAGCTGGGGTGTATGGCGTTAAGGGGGGCGGGGGCTCCCGGAGGGCCCCACCGCCTCGGGTACAGGCCTGGGTCGTGAGCTGGGCCACAGCCCGGCTTTTGCCGGTCTAGCCGGGACGGCCGCGAGGCCAGGGCCCGGGGCCAGCCTCCACGCGCGTGCGTTCTAGTCGGGGGGATGTCGACACAGGGCCGTCCCCGAGCGAGGTGTGTGGTGAGAAGGGACCGCAGCGTCGCAGTGCTCTGACCCAAGCTCCTGGGAGTTGGCCTGGCCTGAAGGAGGACTGTCGGGACTCCCTGAGAGTTCTGTGCCTCGGGGTCCGGCACTGCCCCTGCTGCCATAGGCCGGCAGTCCCCGCCCTGACCATTCTGAGGGGTTCCCTGCTCTGTCCCGTGTCACCTCTTCCCTGGTGTTTCTTGGTCGAGGTGCCCCGGGGAGGGGTGTATGAGGCAAGTCAGAGCCCCCCGCCCCCGATCTCACCCACGGTCCTGTTTGTCACAGTCACGAGACCCCAGCCCGGGCAGGCAGGAGGGGGTTGGGACGAGCCAGACAGCGGCTCCAGCTCCCAGAATTCATCCCGGGGGAGCGGTGACCCAGGCAAGGTCTCAGACTCAGGCAGTCGGTCGGGCAGCGACAGCCCCTCAGCGGCTAGCCAGGCACCCAGCGACCTGGCAGAGCGGTGAGGTCCTTTTCTGGGGTCCCACCCTGGGTTGGGGCCTGACCCGGAGGAGTCTCTCTCTACCCTGACCGCTGTGCCCCTGGTAGGGTGGAGGCTGTGACCCTGAGCGACTGCCAGCAGGAGCAGAGCCTGGTCCAGACTGTGACACGGGGGCCGCGTGCCTTTCTGAGCCGAGAGGAGGCTCAGTGCTTCATCAAAGAGTGAGTCCCCCCACCGGCTCCCCGCTCCCGGCCCCAGCCCCGGACCCCCGCCCCCACCTCCTGCTTGTGCCTTCCTGCAGGTGTGGGCTGCTTAACTGTGAGGCGGTCCTGGAACTGCTGACCCGCCGTCTGGACGGGACCAGCGAGTGTGTACAGATGGTGAGGGCTGGCCGGAGGCTGGGGGCGCCTGGGGGCGCCTGGGGGCATGGGTGTGGGCAGGTGAGGGTTGCGGGCGGGGTTGGCCGGGGACCGCCTCACCCGGGGCCTGCCCTGGGGGTGGGGGGGCAGTGGGCCCACCCCCGGGGCTCCCCCACCTTGGGGCTGTAGTCGGGCCGAGAGGAGGACAGAGCTGTGAGAGGGGCCTCCCTCCGGGGGTGGACTGCGCTGACCTTCTGTCCGCCCGGCAGAGGGCCCTGGGCGCCATCGCGTCCCTGGGCTGCACCGACCTGCTCTCCCAGGAGCACATCCTGCTCCTCGCCCGGCCGCGGCTGCAGGAGCTCAGCGCGGGCAGCCCTGGACCCGTGACCAACAAGGCCACCAAGGTGGGCAGCAGCCGGGACCCGGAGGAGAAGTTGCACGCTGTTCCTCCAGCCGTTCCCAGATCGGCTTCCACATTCCTGCCCCTCGCCACCGGGCTGGTTCGGGCCGGGCCTTAGAACAGCCAGGGTCCTTGGCTTGTGGATCTTTCCAGCTCCTGGGACCTCTCCCCTGCCCTGCTGCTCAACAGCTCTGCTCTGCAGACAGCTCCCCATCCCGCCTGGCTCAGCCCACGGGTGGCCTCCTGCGGGAAGCCCTCCTTGCCTGCTCAGGTCCATTTATCCTTCTGCTGGCCACCTGGGGTCACAGTTCAGGAGTCCGTGCTCGACCCCTGGAGAGCAGAAGTGTTTTCTTTCACGCGAGTCCGTTTCCCAGTTATGCTCAAATTGTGTGCGGGCCGCCCGGCTCCCTCACTGGGGAGCCTCTGGGCAGCTCCCACAGGCTGCTGGCCTCTCCCCTCAGCCAGGCCCCAGCACGTCTTCCACCTGCCCACTGGCATCCCCGGCTTCTGCACTCCTCTGTGGCTGCTGAGAATTCGGACCCTCAGTGGCGTGTCTTTAAATTGTCCTTTGTCAAAGAATCGGTGACCCCGCCACAGCGAGGCCATCACGGTGTCTCTGAGGACGTGAAGGCTGGAGGAGGCCGTGTGTGCAGAGTTGGGAAGGACCGGAGGGTTTGAGGCATGTTCATTTCCTCAGCATCTGTGTCAGGCGCTGCTTGGCACCCGGCAAGGGACCCCCCCACCCCCACCCTGAGCTGGCTCGTCACGGGGCCGGGTTCGGGGACGGAGAACGCGTGCATTTGTAGAGCAGCGGGTTCACCGTGTCTGGGCGCACAGTGTGGCCGGTGGGGGGTGGCCGGAGGAGGAGGAGGTGGGACGAGCCACGTGCTCCTGGGGGGCTGTGTCTTCTGTGCTCCCGGGTGCACAGGGACCTTCAGCCGGTCCCCTCCGTTTCCTCCTCCAGATCCTGAGGCACTTTGAAGCCTCCTGCCGACAGCGGCCCCCCGCCCAGAGGCCCCCGGTCGAGCTGGGCCCTGTTGCCGGCCGCGGGGGCCCAGCCGACCTGCTGACCGACGCCGTGCCCTTCTCCGGGAGCCACGCCTTCCTGCAGCCGCTGAGTTCCGCCCTCTTCCCGCCCCAGGGCCCTGCGCACCCCCTTCCCCCCGATGGCTCCCCGCTCTCAGTCCCCAGGGAGGCCGAGGCCGGCCTGGTGGGTTCCAGAGAGGAGGGGGCCGGACCCGAGTGGAGCCCGCCGGGCACGGGCTCCCCAAAGGGAGCGCCGGAACTTTGCCCAGGGCCCGGGGGCTGCAGCTCCTTGTTTGCTGGCATGGAGCTGGTGGCCTGTCCCCGCCTGCTGGGGGCCGGGCCCGCCACAGAAGAGGCCCCCCAGGCCCCCTGGACGCCACCACAGAGGGCAGCAGCAGCAGGAGCCCCTCCCGGCCCGGAACCTTCTGCTTTCCCTTTCCTAAACTCGTGACCTTGCCAGCCTGGGCCACACGTGGAGTCACCGTGGCCCCGGCCTGTAAATCCCAGGATTCCGTGACTCTGTGCTGTCCCGTTTGCCCGCAGCCCCCACGTCCCACCGAGGAGTGGTTCCCCTCGGGTGTGTGTGGCCGGTCCGCCCTCCCTCCGGCGTTCCCCCCCCTCACTCACCGAGGACACGGTGCGGGCAGCTGACCAGAGCGAATACAACGGCCACTGATCAAGGCCCGGGTGATGTGCCACGGGTCCACGAGCCAGCAGAGCCAGGTGGCACCGTGCACGGGGGTCGGCTCCCAACCCGAAAGCGGGTTCCCCCGTTTCCTGTGGATGAGGCAGGACCTCCCTCGTGCACGGGCCCTTCCTGTGGGTGTGGTGGCCGGAGGGGCAGCCTGAGGCCTTGGGGGAGAAACCGGACCAGCGCCGAGCCGGGCCGGTTTCTGGGCAGGGTTAGGAACTGAGCTGCTTGTTCAGGGTGGTGGCTGGGGGCCCCGGACCCACTGCTGGGTCTCCTGCCCTGCAGCCGTCCGGGGGGCCCCATCCGCAGACACTGTCAGGCCGCTCTCCCCGCGGCCAGAAGGACTGCGAGGGGGACGGGGCAGAGGGTGTGGCACGGCCTGCCTGGAGGGGACAGGAGCAGAGGCCCGGCTCCTCACTTGGATCTGTCTGGGGCTCCCAGGGTCCTCACAGACACCATGGAGAAGGGCACACGGCCCCCTCTGTGGGGACGAGTCAGGAGGAGACAGTCCGGGCCGTGGCCCTTGCCACCCTGGGAGGAGGGCTCGGGGCTACCTCAGTTTCCCCTCCATGTCTCCCTTACCAGAGGCTAGCTGTCTGGACTTGGATTCCTGCAGCAGCGGGTCTGGGAAACGCTCACCTCAGGGGCCCCCTGGAGACCCGTGCCTGCCTCTCAGAAACAAGGGCTTTTTGTGTGGATTTGGAAGCACGGCTTGAGTATTTTGGGGCTCAGAGCGCTCCCTTCGCAGGGAGTCCCACATCGGCCAAGCGGCTTATCCACCTGGGGCGGGGGGCGGGCTGTTTCTGCTGCCAGATCCCGGTACGACCTGTGTCTGGTCCCTGCAGACTGTGCAGGGCTGGCCTCGGGGCAAGGGTTCTGGCGCCTCAGAGGGTCGCGGCTGCTCCAGGGGTCACAGCACCAGAGCTTCCAAAATAAACACGGTTGTTCCCGCAAAGCTGCACCGTTACTGTTTTTCTTTCCTGTGTATGTGTGTGTGTGCGTGCGTATGTGTGTGCGCGTGTGTGCTAATGAAGATAGCATTAATGAGGACACGCTTAGAAAACTTCTTTTCTAAAAGCAGGACAGGTGTTATTTCTTCCTTAAATGTTCGAAAGAACTCCCCAGTGGAAGTATCTGGTCCTTCAATATTCTTAATTGTAGGCTTTGAACTACAAAGTTTCTGAAGTAGGTATGGGGCTATTTGGGTTATCTCTTTCTTCCCAGGTGAGTTTCAGGAAGGTATTTTTCAAGAAATCGGTCCATTTCACAGAAGTTGAATATGACCATAGAATATTTTATGACATAATTTCATTATCCAATTTCTGTAGGGTCTATAATGATATTCCATCTTTCATTTCTGATGTTGATAACTTTCTCCCCTCTTTTTCTTGGTTAGTCTGATTAGAAGTTTGTTAATACTGGTTTTTTCAAAGAACTAAACCTCGGGGTTTCCTTTTTTCCTACCATTCTATGTTTTGTATTTCATTGCTGTCTGCTTTTTATTAGTTTCTTCCTACTGCTTTGGGTTTACTTTTCTTCTTTTTCTAGTTTCTTGAAGGTAGAAGCTTAGATTATTGACATGAGAGCTTTATTTTTCTAACAAAAATGTTAATGCTATCAGTTTTCCTCTAGACACTGCTTTGACTGCATCCCATGAACTTTGACAGTTTTGTTTTTATTCGGTTCAGAATGTTTTCTTCTTTTGGTCACAGGAGCAGAGCATGGGAACACATGTATATCTCAGGATGTCAGACCCAGGGGACCTTCCTAAAGGAAGGCACTAGCAGCATTCACAAAGGAAGCGAACAATGTTCACGGAGAAGCCACGAGCAGATTTGGAATTCTTGTCCAGTCAGAACCCACACCCTTCCCAGCCTGCAGAACCAAGAAGTGGCCGTGACCCTGGAGGTTTGGTTCCAGAATCAGAGAGCGAAACTCAGGAAAGCTGAATACAAGCATCCGCAGCAAAAACAAGAACCCAGACAACAGCAGTTAGCTGGGGGGAGTCAAGACCGGCTCTTCCTGGAGAAATACGCTCCTACCCTGCTTCCTCGGTTTACGCAGATCGCCCAATACCTTCCTTCCAACCCTGCACGTGCCCCAGTTTGAAGGCTCCCCCAGACCATTCTGTTGGCCACCAAACAGTCCACCTTGGCTGCCGCCAAGATCCTAACATCTCCCTTTGTCCCGTTTAGGGATCTCAGATTCTTCCCACCAGCTTCACTGCTAATTCCTTTGCTTCTGCATTGCCACCAAGAACCTTAGGAGAGAAGCTAGACACAAAAAGCCACATACCGTGATTTGCCATGATGCCAAACGGGGCTGATAGAAGATCTACACAACACGGATGCATTTCAAAGCATTCTGCTCTGCGAAAGAATAAAGACACGGAAGTGCCCATGTGGTGGAATTGAGCAGAAGGAGGCAGTAACGCTTCTTGGGATGGTGACGTTTCATGTCTTAATTAGGTTGGTGGTTACCCGGATGTACAAACTCATCGAAAGACACAGAACTCTAATACTATGTACACCACAAAGAAACAGCCATGTGATAGGATGGAGGCGTCAGCTAACGCCACGGCGGTAACCCTTTTGCATTCTATAAATATCAAATCAGCACCTTTGTGTACCCCTTAAACTCGCACAGGGTTATGTGGCAATTCACTCTATGCATCAAGTCAATCTCAGTAAACCTGGAGGGAATAAATGTTTTAATTATGTCTCAATAAAATATATATACATAGGTCATGAATTGGAAGAATAGATATTGTTAAAATGTCGATACTCCCCAAAGCAATCTACATAATCAATGCAATCCCTATCAAAATAACACCAGCATTCTTCACAGAGCTAGAACAATCCTAAAATTTGTATGGAACTAGAAAAGACCCCAAATAGCCAAAGCAATCCTGAAAAAGAAAACCAAAGCCGGAGGCGTCACAATTCTGGACTTCAAGATGTATTACAAAGCTGTAATAATCAAGATAGTATGGTACTGGCACAAAAACAGACACTCAGATCAATGGAACAGAACAGAGAACCCACAAACATGGCCAACTAATCTTTGACAAAGCAGGAAAGAATATCCAATGGAATAAAGACAGTCTCTTCAGCAAGTGGTACTGGGAAAACTGAACAGCGACGTGCAGAAAAATGAACCTGGACCACTTTCTTACACCAGACACAAAAAGAAACTCAAAATGGATGAAAGACCTAAACGTAAGAGAGGAAGCCATCAAAATCCTAGAGGAGAAA